TCAAGCAGTGGATCCTTTTCAAAGACCATAAAGGGCAAGTAAGCATTTATCCTTTATGTATATGTCTGATTGCACTGGATCTCCACCAAATCAGTTCCCACGAATAATTTATCCATTAAGTTTTCCACAATTGAACCCTCCAAGGAATGGATCATTTTCAAGGAACGTCACAGCCAAGGAAAGTCACAGCAAGTAAGTTTTTTTCTCTTTTTGCATTTCTCAGATAGAAAACTGCATTCTTTTCGGTTTATATTCATGTATCATGTTGTTGCACTTGATGCCTGTACAATACGTTCTCACAAATACTTATTTGCTCAGGTAGTTCAAAACTGAATCCTTCAAGCAGCGTATCCTTTTCAAAGACCATCACAGGCAAGTAAACATTTATCCTTTATGTATTCATCTGATTGTACTGGATCTCCACCAAATCGATTCCCACTAATAATTTATTCATTGCGTTTTCCACAGTTGAACCCTCCAAGCAGTGGATCATTTTCAAAGACAGTCACAGGAAGTAAGCTTTTCCTCTCTTGTGTTTCTCAGATTGTAAAATTGCATTCTCTGTTTATATTCATATATTATGTCATTGTATTTGAGTTCTACTCAATGTGTTCTCACAAATATTTGATGAGGTAGTTCACAACTGATTCCTTCAAGCAGCGTATCCTTTTCAAAGACTATCACAGGCAAGTAAGCATTTATCCTTTATATATTTCTCTGATAGCACTGGATCACCACCAAATCGATGTCCACTAATAATTTATTTATTAGGTTTTCCACAGTTGAACCCTCCAAGCAGTGGATCATTTTCAAAGACAGTCACTGGAAGTAAGCTTTTTCTCTATTTGTGTTTGTCAGATTGAAAACTGCATTGTCTGCTGTTTGTATTCGTGTATCCTGTTATTGTACTTGATGTCTACTCAATGTGTCCTCACAAATACTTATTTGTTGAGGTAGTTCACAACTGAATCCTTCAAGCATTGGATCGTTTTCAAAGACCATAAAGGGCAAGTAAATATTTATCCTTTATGTATTTTTCTGAGTGTACTGGATCACTACGAAATCGGTTCCCACTAATAATTTATTGATTACGTTTTCCACAGTTGAACCCTCCATGCAGAGGATCATTTTCAAAAACAGTCACAGGAAGTAAGCTTTTTCTCTGTTTGTATTTGTCACATTGCAAAACTGTATTCTCCGCTGTTTGTATTCATGTATCATGTTGTTGCACTTGATGCCTACTCAATACGTTCTCAGAAATACTTATTTGCTCCGGTCGTTCACAACTGAATCCTTCAAGCGGTGGATCATTTTCAAAGACCATCATGGGCAGGTAATATTTATCCTTTATATATTCGTCTGATTGCACTGGATCTCCACCATATCAATTTCCACTAATAATTTATTCATTACGTTTTCCACAGTTGAATCCTCCAAGCAATGGATCATGTTGAAAGACAGTCACAGGAAGAAAGCTTTTTCTCTCTTTGTGTTTCTCAGATTGTAAAATTGCATTCTCCTCTGTTTATATTCATGTATCATGTCATTGTATTTGATGTCTACTCAATGTGTTCTCACAAATACTTATTTGATTAGGTAGTTCACAACTGAATCCTTCAAGCAGCGGATCTTTTTCAAAGACCATCACAGGCAAGTAAGCATTTATCCTTTATGTATTCATCTGATTGTACTGGATCTCCACCAAATCGATTTCCCCTAATAAATTATTCATTACGTTTTCTAATGTTGAACCCTCCAAGCAGTGGATCATTTTCAAACACAGTCACAGGAAGTAAGCTTTTTCTCTCTTTGTGTTTCTCAGATTGAAAACTACATTCTCCTCTGTTTATATGCACGTATCATGTTTTTGCACTTGATGCCTACTCAATGTGTTCTCACAAATACTTATTTGATGAGGTAGTTCACAACTGAATCCTTCAAGCAGCGGATCCTTTTCAAAGACCATCACAGGCAAGTAATCATGTATCCTTTATGTATTTGTCTGATAGCACTGGATCACCACCAAATCAGTTCACACTAATAATTTATTCATTAGGTTTTCCACCGTTGAACCCTCCAAGCAGTGGATCATTTTCAAAGATAGTCACAAGAAGTAAGCTTTTACTCTGTTTTTATTTTTCAGATTGAAAGATTGTTTTTTCTTCTGTATGAATTTGTCAGCTTTCAAAATAGGATGTTGTGCTGTTCATGAGTTATTTTTTCTTTACTGGATCTCCACTGAATGAGTTCTCACACATAGTTAATTGGTGAGTTTGTTCACGGTTGATCCCTTGAAAACTAGATCAGTTTCAGTCAGTCACAGGGAAGTAATTTTTTTATTCTGTATGGATTTGTCAGATTGCAGAATAACTTTTTCTCCTATTCTATTCATGCAGTATATGTTTCCATTGGGTCTCCACTCAGTGGGTCATCAAAAATAATTTATTGATGAGGCTATATCCGTCGATAGTGATGATGTGAACCTGGAAGACAGAACATAATTTACGTCTTTAGAGATTTTTCTAAATCCAAAATATGAAAACAAAAGCCGGAGATCCTCACAGAACTATGAAATGATGCAGCCAAGTAATGAAATTTGTCTTTTTTTTTTAAATAGAGGGGTGGGAGTACAGGAGCAGCCACAAACAGCCTTTGTTTTTAAGCTAGTCAGCAACTCATAAGGAAATATGGAAGATATTGTGCTGTTTTCCCTCACGGCATGTTGACTGGAAAGAACTGAACTTTTTCTGTAAACAAGGACTGTCCGGAATTGGAGAACTCTCATTTGCTGATAGTAGGGTTGATTGTTCAATATTAGTAATAATGAGGAATGAGTGATTGTGCCTGAGAAAAATGGCAGTAGGTTGGAAAGCTCTGGCTCCTGCTTCCATGCCCAGGGTAGCACTGATCGCCATTTTGGGGTCAAGAAGGAATTTTCCTCCAGGGCAGATTGGCTAGAGATCCTGGAGTTTTTTTGCCTTCTTCTGGGCATCCCGCAGGAGTTATCCGCTAGAGGTTTTGATAAGCTATTGAAAAAAATTAGTATGGTTTTTAAAACTGAAAAATTGAGAGTGACTTATGATTGGGTCAGAGGGATACCTCCTCCCTGAAAATTTGAGTTGAGGTCCCCCTGTTCTAATCCTTCAACACCCCTGCTTCCAGACATCAGTGTAATTAAATGATGTGGATTTGCACCACTCTTGTTGCGTATTCTGGGGAAAGAATCTAGCAGAGATTTGTCTGACAATTGCTAAAATGTTACAGAACCAATCATAGCTGCAAGAGTGAGGAATCAAAAGATAATAAGCTTTCTGTCACAAAGCTTACATAAGAAAATTGAATTGACACTTGAACAGGGAGGAGAAGCTTGATGCATTAAAGGGTGAGCATCTGCTCATACCTGTTGATCTGAGAATTTTGTGGCTATTGATCATATTCTAGAAAGAATTATGTTCATTTCCCCAACAATATGGAGTGAGCCATACTGTTATGCTGCATACGGAGTAAAATCTAGAGGATTTACTTTAGAATCTAGAGGAACCACACAATATATACATAGAGATTGGAATTATTAGGTCAGATGCTGGTGATAGGGCTGAATGTTTGATGTTGGTAATAATGAGGAATGAGTGATTGTGCCTAAGAAAATGCCAGTGGATTGGAAGGCTCTGGCTCCTGCTTCCATGCCCAGGGTAGCACTGATCGCCATTTTGGGGTCAAGAAGGAATTTTCCTCCAGGGAAGATTGGCTAGAGATCCTGGAGGTTTTTTGTCTTCTTCTGGGCATCCAGCAGGAGTTATCTGTTAGTGGTTTTGATAATTATTTTTAAAAGCATGGATTTTTAAAGTGAACATCTGAAGTTGGAAAATGACAATAAATTCCAAATTGAAAATGAATAAAACCCTTAAATCTGGAAACCAATTTTTGCCTTGTTTGCCTTGTTCTTATTTTTCATAGTTATAAGTACATGCTTGGCCTCTCCTTGCTATCTGTCAGCTATCCCATTCAGCAAGAGCATCCTTAGAAAGAATTTCATGAGATATAAGGTCCCAAGTGTACATGTAACATGAATATGGAATCAATGGTTCTTTGGAGAGTGGAGTACACGCCTTGCGTCCAGAAGATTGTCCAGATGGAAACAATGAATGTAGGACATTCAGAAGTCGATAAAGCAGTATGCCATCAGACAACTGGATAGTAGATGATATTTGTCTTTAAAGCATTAGTTCCTTTGCAAGTATGACAGACTGAATTTATGTTGTCCATCTGTAAAACTGCCTATCAAAGGGATATAATCAAATAGTGTATGGATATTTGTGAATATTAGAGGTGTCCAGATTTGTGTTTGAGAACTATCACCCCAGGGGCTCTGCTGCCAGTAGAATTCTGGGAAGTTCAGAAATAAGAATCTGTGTACCTCTAATGAATATCAAAGATGTTTTGAAAACAAAATTAAGCTATCAATCAAAAGGAAGCCATAACAGCACACAACCACACAATATATACCTCGTAAATGCTTCATCCATATTATATTGCTAGTATCTAGCTGAACTAGTTCATTTTTCCCCCTATTAAAAAGCCCTATGGTATCCATGCATTTTCACTGAACTGATTTCTGCAAGAAATAGTGTACAGGGAGTCTAAGGAATTTTCCATGGAGAACATTTAATGTAACATTCAGATTCTTTGTTCTGCTCATCTCTGAAACGTCTTTACAACCAATGTATATGAAACATTATTGGAGATTTACATTCAAATTAAATAGTCCAATTAATTCCTTTAACAATATAGGAGGTACTGAAGTACTCAGAGCTTACTGGATGTTCTGAGCAGAGTGTGTATCTGTGTGGGGCCGTGGGTCAGTGTGGAGTCGTCCTTTCAAATATAAAAAGTGGTTTTATATCCTGACAATAGGTGATTTTTGGCCAGGTAATAGATTTAGGAAAGCTATATCAGAGTGCAGGAATCCCATGACCATTTCTGGCAGCCTTGGGTATGGCATCTTGAGCAGTATACAAACTTGTTTGCCCCCCATGCTGGGTAGTCTGCCAGCATTACTCTGCATTTTTCTTGAATTTGGAATGTGGTCATTCCTGCTGAGTTTTGTCCTTGGCAGCAGTTATAATATTCTGAACTGCAGAGAATTATAAGAGATGAAAACAGTAATTTGGTTAGGGTTTTCTTTTTCTAATTAGCACATTTTATACTACTTTTTAAAAATGCAAAGTGATGTTTAAAAATCAGATTGTATATAGTATAAAGGAAAATTCAGAAAACTGGAACTAAAAACTGAATAGAAGAGCAGGAATGTTGTTACCAAATGTTGATGGAGAGCAAGGGCATGCTGTGAAAGGACAGCACCAAGCCTCTTGGTGGAGCTTATGTACTTCTTAGGCCCGGAGAGATTGATTCCAAAGCTCTTAAGAATTCAACGGAAAAGGCCTGGAAGTGCTAATGGCACTTGAGTGGCTCCAGCAAACTTGTTGCCGAATGTTAGGTCAACATTTATGTAAATCCCATTGATCCAGTGGCTCTGCTCTTGTTGGAACTTGCAACTGGATTTAGGCCAATATTTTTTTGTGGAAGCATTAAGCATCCAACTAACTGATGGAGCGTTCAGCAAAATATTACTGACAGATCTTGGCTGCTCGGAGGAAAAGGTGTGTGTTGAATAGACACACTGTTTTACCCTGTCGATCTGTAAACAACAACCACAGCAAGAACTCCAGTTTGGCTATTCCTCCTGAGAGAGGAGTATTTTGCATGATCCATCCTGTCATAGAATAGAGTTCAGTCTGAAATATCATATGAAATAATTGGTAGGACATGAACCACCTTTTCAGAAATTTTCTTGGGATTGTACGAGTATTGAATATATCCTATCTTGTTAATGCTAAAAATAAATAAATAAAATAAATCAGAATTTCTGGAACCAGTTCCTATACTTACTGAAGATTATCAGAAGGTAACTAAAATCATACGCAGTCATAATTAGCAAAGCATTCACCACAAGTTTTTCTATATGTCCTGACTCTTGGTGTGATCTAACAATTCCAGTTTCCACATTTCTCCCATCTAGTTCACAGTTATGCTCCATACTCACAGATTCCAACTCTGTTTGTCTGTCTACGGACAACTTCTCTTTTTCTCTCTTCAAGTTTGTGGTATCAATTCTGATGATGAAGCAGGTGGCTGGGAGAGATGCACCCTTCCCTCAGAGTTTGGGAAAAGTGCTTTTTGGACTCCAATTTCTACAGTTAAAAAGCAAACAAATACCCCCACACTAAATCTCCGTTGATTTAATGGATCCACTCTAGTTGTGACCCACTACTGAATTTCAACCACAGTGACGGTATTCTCAGAGAACTGAAGAGAACACAGACATGGGTCAGCTGTTTATACTGTCAATGCACATGTAAAAAAGTGTGCTACTTATATACTGCCCTCTAAAGCTTAAAGCTCTCTCTGGGCAGTTTAAAAATTAGTTATGCAAGGTACACATTGCTCCCCCTGAAAAGCTTGGTACTCAATTTACCAGCCTTGGAAGGATAAAAGTCTGAATCAGCCTCAAGCTGAGCCCATTGGGATCAGATGGGAGGGGTTTCCATGTTTTATTTCACCTTAGGAATGTCTTGGCCTAGCACCACCAGACCACCCTCAGAATCACCCAAAATAGTTGATCAATGCTTTCACTGATTAAGAGAAGCCCATAAGCACAAGCTGTCTTGCACTGTAATTTTAAAATAAAAACATGATTAACTATAATTTCTCAGCATTAGCAAAGCAAAAGTAGCAATGTGAAAATAGGGCGTCTTCAGTTTCTGGTAGAGATGTGCAGATTGGTGATGCCTTGGGAATTATGGGAGTTGTAGTTCAAAAAACACAAATCTGCAGACCTCTAATTTTTGGGGCCTACTCATAACTCTTAAGAGGAGGCAGAATGCTTTCTCTTTCAGAGGCTGAGTAGGGATAGAGCTATGGGACCTGGAGCTTTGTGAACTATAGGTGTCAGAACCTCTCAGTCAGGATGGCCACTGACTTTGGCAGCTCCTGCATTCTGAAAGGCCGAGTGTATAAGAAGAATTTTTCCGAGCAATCCTGCAATCACTCAAACTGGGAGGTGACAATTTACATAAATTATTATTACCTTCAAACAATTCTTAATGTGCATCAAGACCACCAAAGGTCCTTTAGGTACATGCCATTTTCTTGCTGATGTGACCTCATATCTCAAATTATGGTGCTGTTTCCAGGCAGGGATTGGAGCTGATCAAGGTGAGAAGAATTTTCTTGTCCTATAGGTTAAGGGAGAAGTCCAAGCATGAGCAGGATCCATTCGTGACTCCAGATGTTCACAGAGAATAAGGCCATCCATGGCTATTTTAATGATAGTTGCGTGACTTTGCAAAACATTTTTTAACTCAGAAAGTAATGATCAGCAGACCCTTCTTCAGGAAGCAGTTCAAATGCAAACAGTGCGGAACCATAGGCAAACTCTTCACAGTTTATGCAAAGTGATCTTTCTTTTATATGTTTAGGAGCTGCTTGCACAAAGTTCATGGGTTCTCTCTCACAACCTTTCCAGCTTCAGTGTGGTTTGGCATCAGAT